TTCCCCACTCATCTTAAAGTGGCCAAGTTTGGACAACACTGCTGTACATGGTTTGTCTAGGGCTGGGAAATAGCATTGTGAATATTATTATTTGTACCTTTTTGAGTCATATTTCTAATCTGCATTTTTGCATACCTGAAGTTTAAGTCTTTTGAGACTGTAGACATATTCCTTTTTAATTTTTATTTTACTCAATTTAAACATCTCATTAAATCAAATGGTATAAAACATTTGCTCTTCCACACTGTAGTATATTAGCACAAGTGAATCTGTATTTAGTGTACCACTAACTTGCAGCAAATAATGTTTAACTATTACACTGTATTTTTTTATTTCTGCTTCTTCTTTTAGTATAACCATTACCATAACCTATTTTGGATACAAATAGGCCTCCCTAACAAAAAATGTCTGCAATTTATGTATTCCTAATTTCACAGACGACGATAAATAAGTCAACTTTCAAGAGTTTTATATCAATGTATTAATTAGGGCATAATCAACAGAAAATCTGAAGGATATCAACACCATATAGAAAGCAATCAGAAAAAAATTCCATGAGTTTTACTGCTACATGAAATGCAGCAATAATAATAATAATAAGAAGAAGAATAAGAATAAGAATAAGAATAATTTAAAAAAAAACCCTGAGGGAATGGAAGGGAAGGAGGGTGTGGTTCTTAGCAAAATAGTATTGGAACATATTTTCCATGCAATAATAATAAAAACTAGTAACGTAGTACTTCTATGTATATAAACATTACCTTAATAAAATATATTAACAAAACATTACTAGGCATTTCAAAAAGCTATAAAGAAGAAATGCAATCATTACCTGTATTAGTGAATTATACCAGGAGAGTGGAAGATCAAATACTCTTAAAGCTGCTGTCTTCAAAGGAAAACGTGTCTCATTAGCAGCCTCTTCTGACATTGTTCCTTCTTTCCTATATCATCATTTACTGATGCTAAGTCAAAATCATATTATTTGGGTTAGATAGTCTGCCAAAGAGAGACAAATATTGGACTATATTGGACTAGCTTTGAGACATTCCTTCAATGGCTTAGTTTCAATCTTTCTGCCAAAGCCAAAGGATACAAGGAAGAAAACTGCATGCAGTAATAGACCCTGAATGTTGCAGAGAATACAGTGTTTGAGCTTTTCAGTAAAGACTAATTCCAGCTGTCTTTCTATAGCCACATGCCAAGGAATAAGCTCCTTTTAACTCAGTGGAATTCTGAGTAAATTAAAGGCTGCACCATAAACCAACAGTTAAAATCTGAGGAGCAGAATTGCTCAGTCACAGAAGGAAAGCAGATTATTCTTGAAAAATATATCATTTCAGCTGTGCTCTGTATCAATTAGGAATATTTATGATCTTGAGATTTTTTTTAACTGCCAAAGCAGTTTCACATAAAGATTTTAATTAGCCTCAAGACACAAAGATATATTAGACCAAATAATATTTCTGCACAGCCAAGATGTACTTCATCAACTTTTCTTGGTGATGTTGGACTGCTAAATCTCTTGATCTGAATGCCAGAGGAGATACAACTCTTAAACTTGAAATGAGCATTTAGAATGAACTGGAAATTTAGTTCTTGTGACTTCCACAACTGCAGTGAAAAGCATGAGATTTCTTTAGAAATGGCTGAGAGAGGAAGAGCAAAGAACCTTAAAGACTTAATAGCTTATTTCAAAGAGCTGTATAATTATATCCCCATGGATTAGCACAGGTATCCCTTGAGCTCACGGTGATAAACAAGATAATGGATGCTTAGGATGATGTAAATATGATACTGTGGCCATGGATGACAGGACCTTGTAATTTTCTAAAAACCCAATGTATTGGCCATGGTATCTTCAGCATCTGCTAGACTGAAGAATTCCCTGTCCTGTTGGGTCAGATGGATGGCACTTCTTATACAGGGGAAATCAATCTTTTGCCATCACTTCAAAAATCATAATGAAAAGGAACGGATTAAGTTTGAAAGACTTCTATGAGTTACCTCTCTGACACTGCAGGTATGTCAGCCAGCCCAGGTTCAGATGATGCACTCCTTGTTCCTCCTTTGCACCAGCTCTCACTTTTGCTAGCCGTTTCTGATGGAGCTGTCAGGAGGAGGAAGATGCAGGCAGATAGAGAAACTGTAGAGATAGAAAATGTAGAGTAACATGACTCCTGGATAAGAGTTTGCTTAGACGTTTCTATCAATATCCAATATTAGATTTATAAGATCTAATGCGTCATCCTTATGTTACAAACAAAAAGGATTGCAGGATATGGTGACATGAGGTCAGGGAATCTAATTGGATTTATTCTTGTTTCAACCTGTGGTATGTTTTGCAAGAGAGATATTTTTCAAGAATCTAAAGTGTACAGCTTAGATTGGAACAAAATAGAGGCTGTTATCCTATGCAACTGCCTCAGAAGGGCTGTTTTGCTCTGTAACGTAAGACAGAGTAAGACAGTCACCCAGGGAACAGAGTTTAGATGGTATAAAAAGCTATATTTGTCATTACAATGATTAAAAATAATTCTCAACAACAACTGGGGTTTCAGAACCAATGAATTAGTCTTACTATTACTATTGCCTTTTTATTATTGCCTTTATTATTATTACCACCATCATTATTACCATTTCTGGCATCTCCATTCAGCCATCGTGTCTCCTGAAGAAGGCAATGATTTACCTCTGAAGGCAGAAGGCAGAGGGGCAAAGGCTTGGGGTTAAGTTAGAGTTTGGCATTTTCTTTTCTGGACTGGTGCCAGTTAGATCAAGCACTTTGAAGTTAGATCTTTCTTTTTCACTTAAAAATATATGTTTTTCTCTTGGGAGACCTTAAAACTCCTCCTTTGAGATTCCTATTGGTTGAAAGCTTCATTTTGTTAATCAAAATAATCTTTAGGCTTGCACTTAGTTCTGAGCTGTAAGTTGTGTTTTCAATTCGCCACTGGAATCTTTTAGACATGTCCTAGGATCAATCGTTACTTATAGCAACTGTTGATTTTACTGGAGGAGTGGCCAAAATGTAGTGCATAAAATATCTTCAGGATGGGCACCCTCACACATATCTTCCTTCACGTGTCCTGCACTCATCAATAGTGGGTGCAGCCAGGATGGAGCAGTATAAGAAGCTGGTTCATTTACTGACACCAATTTCTATTTTATTTCAACCAGTTGAATTTTGTTTGAGTCAACTGAGTCCCCTTTCCTAGTTTGTACACATACTGTACACTCTTGCTTCCATAACTAATACTGACTGGAGACCCTCAACCCTCCAGATCCCATATTGGGTTGGCTGTAGGAGTACTGGTGACCTGACTGATTGACTAGAGTTCCTGCTACTCACCTAGGATGAGGAAAAGAGACTGGGGTCTGTCAGATGTAAGCCTAGATATCCATACTCTTCCCTTTTTACCATCTTACCTGTACTTTCCCTTTACCAGGCTTAGATTGGGGGATGGATCAGGGAGAAGCCAGCACAAAGGGTAAGGATGAAATACAGTGGTACCTCGGGATACGAACGCCTCTACTAACGAACATTTCGGGTTACGACCAGCTTCGGCAGGAAAATTTTACCTCGGGTTATGAACTTGCCTCTACTTACGAACCGGATCCGCGGCCATTTTCCCTGCTGTCAGGGAACAGAATACCTATGGACTACAGTGGTACCTCGGGATACGAACGCCTCTACTAACGAACATTTCGGGTTACGACCAGCTTCGGCAGGAAAATTTTACCTCGGGTTATGAACTTGCCTCTACTTACGAACCGGATCCGCGGCCATTTTCCCTGCTGTCATGGGAAACTTTACCTCGACTTGAGACCAACTCGAGTTGCAACCAGAGTCACGGAACGGATTAAGTTCGTATCCCGAGGTACCACTGTAGTCCATAGGTATTCTGTTCCCATTTCCCTCACATACTCACTGATCAAATGCTTCTGTCCAACTTTTCACACCAGAGTCCTGTGAAAAAAAATATTTCTTTTAATATATTCATTCATATTACATGGAATGCAGGCATTCAAAGGGTTAAAAATGAAATGTTACAGGCATACTGACTTAGTTTATTTATCTTGTGTTCTTTGATCTGTACATGACCCACTTTTTGTCCTTCTTGTCTACATGACTTTACTTAACTATAATGGCGCTGGGCCTTTAGATTTTTCTACAAGTGTCACTGGGTTGAAGATATATTTGCAAGAATTTCAGTCTCAAATGCTCAAATAACTTTCTATATTTTTTCTATACACTTTAAACCAGTTTTGTCTCTATTGAACACAATTGAGTTTGTGCTTGAACTACCAAATCCTGGTTGCAAAAATCTAGTAACCACTAGATGGTAGAAAAGTGGAAAACTTTCTTTGCCACCATTCTGTGGTACTTTGCCACTGTAACTGACTCCATCCACCATGTTGCTGGCCATCCTCTTCTTCTCTTTCCTTCCATCATTCCCATCATTAGAGCCTTCTCCAGAGAGCTGGGTCTTCGCATAATGTGTCCAAAGTAGGATAATTTGAGCCTGGCCATTTGTTCTTCAAGTGTGAACTCTGAATTGATTTGTTCGATGATCTATTGGTTTGTTTCTTGGCTGTCCATGGTATTCTCAGGAATCTTCTCCAACACCAAAGTTCAAAAGGATCCATACTCTTCCTATCCTGCTTCTTCAAAGTCCAACTTTCGCTTCTATAGAGTGTCACAAAGAATACCATGGCTTGAACAATTCTGATCGTTTTAGGCATAGCCACATTACAGCATCTAAATGTTTTTTCCAAGGTCTTCATGGCTGCTTTACCAAGCAATATCTATAATGATGATAGGGGATGTTTAATTTAGATTGAATTAAGTATTGGATTCCCTTTGTTAAGAACAAGTTTTCATTGCAGGAAATTTGGCGGTTCTATCTTAAGACTTTAAAGAGGTTTTTTTAACAATTTTCTAAATGTATAATTTCTTTGTAATAATTATGTGGAAGAGGGAGAAGCAGGGTCAGAAGGAGGAGGCGAAGACAGCAGCAACCCCATTTTTAGGGCTACCAGATCCTTGCTGCAAATATCCTGATGACCACTAGATAGTAGAAAAGAGATACAGAAAAAACTCTAACTCGACCCTGCCTTCTTGTGGTTTCCGGATTTTGCAGTCCTGATCCGGTAGCCCTATTTTTTTCTTTTTTAATAGGAAATAACATCTGAGATACAGGCTATCCTGGCGTAAACATGCTGTTTGAAGCTTACAGCCAAAAACTAAAGATGTCCAGGAGGATTTTAGCTCTTCACTTTTCTATATCTATGAGGCAGTGCTTCGCTGAAGGGAAACACAGGCAGAAATGTGCTTCCGAGATCAAAGGAAATCTAACCGAACTAAAAGCAAGGCTGTCTATGTACAGCTCTCTTAGAACTGGGTTATTGAAAGGACGGCCTTTCTAAGCTAGCTTCCTCCTTTCCATGCACAAGGCTATCACCGATCCCTACGCTCAGCTTTAAGCGCAGGCGCTCCGCTCTAGCGGACCTGTCATCTCCGGGGCGGTGCGCCGGCGGAGGAATTCCAGCGCCACCATCTTTACTTTGGGCGCACTCGCTTTCTACTCTAGCCCCCTCGAGCCACAAGAAAGCCAGCGACGCCATCTTTGTTGTGGGGCACAGGCGAGCTGAAGCGACGCCGGCGTTCGGGAGTCCGCTGGAAAAAGGGGGGAAAGAGAAGGAAAAGAAGGCGTCTCCTCCTCTTTCTCCTCCAGCACTGGGGGGAAGCGTTTAGTTTTCCTGGATTGGCCTTGGGACCCAGGCGAGGAGGAGGACGAAGAAGAAGAAGAGGAGGAGGAGGAGGAAGAAGCAGCAGCACCGGTGGCTTTGAGGTGGAGAGACCGTTAAGGATGTGAGGAAATCTGGAGGTTTTCGGATGAAATTCCGCTCCTTGTCCTCAGGACATTGAGGGGCTTATTCAGGGGGACGAGTTTACCTGCTGCTGCCGGTGAGAAGTCCGTTTTCTTCCTTCAGGAAGCACGTTTTAGGCTCATCCCAGCCTTTTCTCTCTTTCTCTGACCCACACCTCAAGTCCGGAATCTAGTTCAGGACCGCTTTTTAGATCTAAAATGTATGAGGCCGGTCCTCCTGAAGCTGAATGCAGCCTCTGAACATGTGCAGAGTCCATTCCTGGATTAAGCCTCTGCATTTCTAAAGGTAAAGAGGCTTCTCCTTGGGGGAAGCTTTCCCCCTGGTCCGTGGTCCAGACGGTTTTCTAAATTTAGAAAATAAATTCTGAAGGGGGGATTCCGGCCTTAGGTCCAGAGAGAAGTAACTTTATTTTTGGAAGCCATAATATAGCTGAATAATATTTGTGAAGCTCAAAGGTACACTGAGCCATTTATTGTTTCACTCAGGAAAAATAGGTGCAAGGCTTCAGGGAATGAAAATATGAACATATGTTCTGTTTCATAAGATTGTGCTATTGTAATGGAAAGTATGTTTTTATCTCTGCTAACCTGTAAAAAAGGACATAGAGGTATCTCAAACCTGTGGGATAAAATATATATTTGTTGCTGAGGACAGAGAGAGAGAGAGGGATTAAATTTCTGTCAGAGTATTGCTCCATTTAATGCTGTTATTTCATTTAATAAACACTTGGGAACTCTATTCTGTGATGCAGAACAGAGTTAAATATAGGGATGGATGAAAACTCAGCTGCAGCTTGCAGTAATGCTGGGGCAGCAGTTTTACTGCAAAAAGATCAATCAGCAGAATACACTGCAGAACAGCACACATGCGTTCTCCTTGTTCTTTTTTTTTTTATTCCCCAAGAATGAAATCAAAATCCAGGTAGCATAAAGCAGATTATAGTATTAAACTTATTGTTTTGGATAATTTTATATCTTGAAATGCTTTGACTTAACACAGTTAGGCATATAATGAGCTGAGTTATAGTTGTGAAATTGTATCTTTTACAGTACTGAACTCTTTTGGGTAAGAATAAGAAGAAAAATAGAAGTTAAATAGATTGGGCAATAGTCATCAGAAAATGTTTTGTTTTCTGAATCCATCTTAATGCATATTTATTTCAGCTATTGGTTCTGCTTTTGTTTTTTCAAAGATAAAATTAGTATTGTACAATG